AATTCTGTCTTTTGGACAGAATTGTAAGGACTTTGTTCCATCTTAATTCTTCTGATTTGTAACCAGCTTTCCCTGATTTATTTACATCAGTATAAAATGTATGGACTCCAGTTATTGGAGCATCATGTACAATTCTTGGAAGAATCCAAGAAGTTCTCTTCATAAAGTTAGTCTACCACTTTGTGGATAATTGCTATTAATTTCTCCCCCAAAATTAGCACAAGTTCTTTGTTATGGTTCATTGTATTCCCATAACTCTTTTATTTCATCAGCAATGAAAGACACTATAATCTCTGCTGAGTCTATACTTGCTAATTAATGGAGTCTTAATTTACCATATATAATTAATCCAGAGAAATTTTCCACTTAAGTTTTTAATTTTTTATTTGGTTTATGTGGTAAAAAGATCTATTCTAAGTTAATGCTGTCCCTCTGCATTAAAATTCCTGTAGGAGAAATTCTGGAAGGCAATATGACTAGAATACAATTACAATTTGGATTCACCCTATCCACATGTGCCTCCTGTAATTTCTCCTCAACAATTGTCAATTCCTTTCCCATTTTAGCTAATAATTCTCTGAGACTATTCAAGTCTTCATCATCATCTAAAGTTTTGTTTAAATGAATTGTTACATCAGGGGTTATCCCAACAGCTGGTCACAGACTGGAAATATCTCCTAACAATCTCTGAAAGCCACTAAGGGTCCACAACTAGTCTCTCCTAATTTATGCCTTTTGTGTTCTAATTTTCTATAACACCTATTCTATAACCTAGGTAATTGACAGTATCTCCTCTCTGTATTTTTTCAGGAGCAATTTGTAATCCCCATTATGGCAAAACTTTATTTACTTCTTCAAACATTGTTTCTAAAGTATCTATGTTTGAATCAGAGAGCAAAATGTTATCCATGTAGTGGTAAATTATAGATTTAGGAATTTTTCTGTATTATTTTCAATGACTAACTTACAAAGTATTGACATAGGGTGGGGATATTGAGCATTCCCTGTGGAAGGATGGTCCAGTGGTATCTCCTAGTAGGCTGAGAATTATTAAAAGTAGGCACCGTGAAGGCAAATTTTTTTCTCCGTTCTTTTTTTTTTGTAAAAATATAGTGAAGAAACAATCTTTTAAATCAATAACAATAAGAGGCTATCCTTTTGGTAATAGAGAAGGCAGGGGAATTCCAGATTGTAGGTGGCCCATAGGTTGAATTACTTTTAGATATATCATCATTCTCCATTTACCAGATTTCTTTTTAACAACAAATACAGGAGAATTCCAAGGGCTAGTTGATTCTTCAATATGATTAGCATCTAGTTGCTCCTGTACCAGCTGTTTTAAAGCCTGCAGTTTCTCTTCTGTTAACAGCCACTGTTTCACCCAAATTGGTTTCTCAGTTAATCATTTTAAAGGTAGGGCTGTTGGTACCTCTAAATCTTTGCTAGTTGCTTTGTGTTCTTGTACAGACTAAATGGCTGGTGACTTTTGTGTATAGTACCTTATAATATCCTTTCCAGAATTATGAGTTTCTGGGACTGCAGGGATGTTAACCTGGGTGTTCTGTTGCTGCAATAGGTCACAACCCCATAAATTCACTGCGATATTAGCTACACATGGCCTTGGCTTTCCCCTCTGTCCTTCTAGTCCTATGCATTTAACCCTTCTCGTGTTTTGTTTTACTTGAGATAAGGTTCTGATTTTTAGTAATTGAACATCTGCCTCTTGAAGAGGCCAATTTGGATGTCAAGATTCTGAAGTAATGATACTCACGTCCACACCCATGTTTATCAAAGCCACAATTACAATGCCATTTATATGCACTCTTAGCTTTGGTCTTTGATCATTTATAGGAGTCTGCCAGAATATACGTTTCCTATTTCCTATTGTAATTTTTGATTCATCCTCTATGTTTATTTCATCATCTAGAACAGTATGATTTTTTTTACAGAAAGCTCTAGATTTTTTAACTTTCCTGGTGAGACATGGCCTCCACAGTGACTGGGAATGACTGGACCACTTTTGACTTGGGGGCCAGCTAGAGGCCCCTCAAGGAGTTTCCCAATGGTATCAGGATGCCTTACCTGTCTTTTGTTCATCTGCATTCATTGGTCCAATGTTGGCCTTTGCCACAACTACATATACCTGAAGGCCAAGTCCTCCTATTCTTGCCATTCTCAGAGGAGATATTATTCCTAGGATTTCCTTGTCTACAATCCCTTCTCACATGTCCTATTCTACCACAATTAAAACATTTGACATTTTAATGTCTCCTCATTATATCATTATAATCAGATGTCTCAATGTTCATTGTATGCAGGATCCATTCATCCATGGGTGTTGATCTAATCTTTAAAGGCCCAAGTATCTTTTTGCATTCTAAATTGGCATTTTCAAAAGCCAGAGATTCAATAAGTACTCATCTAGCATCTGGGTCTGTTACTCTGATTTGTACAACCTTAGTTAATCTTTGTAAAAAGTCACTAAAGGGTTCTCTCTGGCCTTGTGTAACCCTGGTATATGATTCAATTTTTTTATGGCTGCCATGTGGCATAGGGACAAGATTTGTTCATTATACAGAGCTGAGACTGTGGGTCAGCATAAGTGCCCTCACCATTCTTTTCCCTGTTGCTCTAAAATTGCCTCTTCTCTGAAATAGCATTTAAACATCATCCACGTCTCTACCATCTCCCTAACAAATGCAGAATGCAAGCCGTAAGTTACAATAGCTTCCTTAATTTCCTTTACATCATTTATTACTACAGGTATCCATCTACCTTCTTTGGATTCTTTTGGGCCTTTAGAACTTAATGTTTTGTCAGAGTGGATTACAGGGTAGGAAGTTAAAACCCTGGGTAAGTCATCGCTGACAGCTCCTGCTCATCAGCTCCAATAATTTCCTCAATCATTTCAAATCTTTTTACTACTGTCTTTTGTAAAGCCTGAATCTCCTGGCCTGTATATATTTCTAGTGATTTCACTGAGACACCTAGCTTCTGGTCCTCATTCTGCACATGTGATTCCAAGGTCTGAAGTTTTTCCTTTAAAGATGACACCTCATCCTTGGTCATTATTTGGAAAGCATGCAGATTGCCCTTCTGGAGAGATACTCTATCTGATAACCTATCACAACTTTTTAACAAATTTTGATTGTCAAATTCAACAGTATGAATTCTTTCAGATAATTTCTCAGTATCATTTGACATGGATTCGATTTAGTCTATCAAATTAATGTTACCCTTTCCAATAGTATTTTTTTCAGGTAACTTTTTATTTTCAATGATATTAATCCTGTCAGCTAGCTGTTCATTATTGGTCTGTAAAGACTGTATCATTTCTAAAAGTGCCTCATTCTTGGATCTGTTATCAAACCATTTTCTTAAGAATATAATATGAAGAAAAAAATTGAGTCTCAATATCCAATAAATGGATGTATCAACATAACCATATAAGCCTTGCAGAATACAATCCATAGTATTAGCAATAAAGTTACTAAAATTTTCCATAGTAATGTTGTCTGCCATTATATAACTTTCAAGTTTATTAGTTAATAAAATATTTATCTGGTATGATGTCCAGTAAATTGTTTTCGGTGTAGTAATCTTGATTGTCCAGCAGGTGTCGTGATTGCAGAGTTGCGACTAGCAGCGCAACCTGGTGCCATGAACAGTCCTGAGCCGCTTAGGTTTCCCTGTTTTGGTGCTGGTTAAATACTGAGAAATATGCTTTGCTTGACAAATTAAAAGCAATTAAATCAATTCTGTACATGGAGCAAGAAGCCCAGAACTCAGGAGCTGGGAGTATAAACTGGAAGTTGCACAAGTCACCATGTGGTAGGGAACAAGGCAGGGAACAAGACTGTGGGGGTGGGGGAGGCGTATGCACGCTTGGGAAATTTTTTAGGCACTACATTCAGTTAGCTCCACGGTGGTGGGGCTTTTACAAAACAACAACAACAAAAAAAAATGCTTAGTAGGTAAAAACAAGACAAGTGAGTGGGGGTGGGAGACTTTCGGGGCTATGGACTGTTTAAGCCTTTAAACAGAACCACCCAGTAGTGTGGAATTCAGATCCACATCGGGCGCCAGATGAAGAAGGATACAAAAAAAAAATCCACACTAGCTCAAGATTAAGTATAATAAAATGTTATTTATTTAGGGTAGACTCACAGATCACAATCCTCTGCTGGAATGGCGAACAGCAACTGAATCCTGCAGCCGGAAAAGAGGCTAGACACGTGCTTTTCAGTGGCATAAATAGTATAAGTGGCCATGCCCAAGTGGGCAGGTAACTTAAAGGCTACTGGTAGTAGAAATTCCTATAGCAACTTCCTTTCATGATGGACTATGATCAGGATGTATAAGCTGAAGTAAATCCTTTCTTCCCTAAGTTGCCTCTGGTCAAGGCTCTTATCTAAGCAATAGAAACCCTAACTATGACATACACATAATGGATTCATTTTTTTTTTAACTGAGAAAGAAGAAAGAAAAAGAGCTAAGGTGGTGGTGTACACCTTTAATCCCAGCACTCGGGAGGCAGAGGCAGGCGGATCTCTGTGAGTTCGAGGCCAGCCTGGTCTACAGAGCTAGCTCCAGGACAGGCTCCAAAGCTACAGAGAAACCCTGTCTCAAAACCCCCCCCCAAAAAAAAGAAAGAAAGAAAGAAAAAGAATTATTTTTGTAACAAAAACTGTCCAAAGGGTTCCTTCAATAAATTGCAGGTTAATTTTTTTCCCCCTGTAACTGCTCCTTGGTTTCAGGACTGGTCATGGGTGAGAAATAACCCCTTTAAGGGGACAGACAACTTGATTAAAGGGGCAATCTAAAATAAATAACACACACACACACACACACACACACACACACACACACACACGTGGTGGTTCAAGAATGACTTTGAAAATGTTTTTATATTTTTCAAGACAGGGTTTCTCTCTGTGTAGCCCTGGTTGTCCTGGAACTCATGCTGTAGACCATGTTGGTCTCAAACTCACAGCAATCCACCTTCCTCTGCCTCTCAAGTGCTGGGATTAAAGGTGTGTTATTGTGGGAGTTGGCAGAGTATGAGACTCTTAATCTCAGGGTCTTGGGTTCAAGCCCCACGTTGGGTACCAGATGAAGTGAGATTCCACAGAAATCTATTTAATAATCTATTAAGGGGTGCAAGGAAAAAGAGACTTAGGGATACAGAACAAGGTAGATGCTGCTGCACATCCAGCTGCGGTTGCTCCATCATCCTGCCCAAGGGTGAAGAAGACCAACCACAAGTTGTCTCTCCAATCAAAGAAAGCATGCCACCCTTCTCTGTTTTATCAGAGAACAGTCCGTCTCACCATTGCCAGCCTTCTTAGATTCCAGCAGGGGAAACTCTCATGATGTTCAGCATTTTGGGGGAACAGGAGCTGCAACCATTAGATACACCCAGAAAACTTACTGAGAACAGAATTGTACTAAACACTGAATCAACCTTTGCTTGTTGGCCATTTCTGTCACTGTTGCTCAAATTCAGTGGCCACATCATTTTTTGAAGGTGCAAATAATTCTGTGTTTATGAATTGGGATTGTTGACTATGGCAAGTAACTTATTTTGATGTATCACTGTGAGAATCAGTAAGCTCTAGCTTTAATACTGGATTCTTTTGAGCCAGGAAAATTGTTTTTGAAGACTCGGATTCCTCATTTGTGTCACAGAGTTAATACTGTCTGTCTCAGAGATGGTTGTGAAGGTTAAATGTGACCTTGAGAATCCAATGTCTGATTCTGACACCTCCTAGCAACATCTTCTTGTAGTTTTCTGGGGTTGTTTAGTAAGATTCAGTCATGTTAGCTGTTCTGAGTCAGCATTTGCTGTATGGCTTTGTATGAGTTACCTGTTGCTCTCTAATGAATGACCTGTGGTTGAAACAGTAACTGGTATGATTGATTCATGGTGGCATGACCCTGGCAGGAAGGAGGCAGACAGATATGCCATGCAGAGAGAGCTTAGATATAGAGTTTATTTAGTGGGTACTGGGAAAGGTATAAGGGTAAGCAGTTATGGGGGGGGAGAGGGAAGGAGAGAGGGGAAACAAAGAAAGAGAAGCAAGAGAAAGGAGGAAGGGAGAGGCAGAGACTGCCCCTTCAGAAGGACAGATACAGAGGAAAAGAGATGGATAGGAGGAGTGAGATCAGCTTCCCTCAGCTGGATGGGGGACAAGTGGAGGTGGGCAGGGTTTATCTCTTAAAGGGGCAGGGTACTCAGGTGACATGGCAGGTCAGCAGATTTATAATTACAACATTCCCGCCTTTCTCTTATAATAAAATGGCAAGGAGTTAGGCATGGCAGATTGAGGGGATAAGAGCGTCTAGTTCTCGAGACTGCTTCCTGGTGATTTGTGGATGTCGAAGTCTTGGGGGACCTGAGAAAGCTTGGATCTGGTCACATCCTGGGGTAGCTTGTTGCTTCACTCCTGTCCAGGATTTGTGGCGCTGTGGAACTCTCCGATGTCTCTTGGATCTGACAAGGTCTGGTTGAGCGGAGGACAAGGTTTAGGAAGAAAAAAAAAATTGTTTGGGTCCTGGCAATTGAGGAGGAGGGTTTAGGACCAGAGAATTGAGAGAGAGAGGTGTATCTGATCTCTTTAAAGTGAATTCTTCAGTTTGGTCCCCCGAAACTCACAAGAATTCTTTGAGTTTGGAAAACGTAAGTTTTAGTCACATACATTGTATAAACAGCAGCATTTTATGTCACGGTGACTGTGACAGATGCTTCTGCACAGTGAAAAGTATCTTTAGAAAACAACCAAAGAGACTTTAAAATCTTGATCTTGAGTAGTGGTTGTACTCTGCCAGAGTTAGATTAATAGCTTATCGGCATTTTATTGATAATGGTAAGACTATGAATGGCAACAGAACGAGGAAAAGAAATTTGATAGTTTGCATTTGTCCTCAGACCGTTATGACTTGTAGGTACACACTTTTATAACTTGTAGGTATATACCTTAGTAACTTGCATTTGTATATCTTACAACACCTTTTTGGTTTGAGCTTTTTGCATTTCGAAACACCTTTTATTTAAAAAAATTGTAAGAAGTTGTACTGAAATTTGTTTGGTGAAGTTGTCATTTTTAAACTGTCAAAACCTCTCAGCAGACAAATTGCTTCAAAGCTCTTTGAGAGGATAACATTTTGCTTGAGTTATTGATTTAAAAAATAGCAGAGGATTTACTCAGTTGGCTATCGAGAGCCACTCCTCGGGGTCCTCCATGGTGGTTGGGAGCAGGGGCTTTCAGGGCTGTATTTGTCTTCTGATGTTAGTGCAGGGCCTACCAGGCTTTAGAAGATCTGTGGGTTAGGAAATCTGTAGGAAGACAAGCCTACCTTGTCCTGAACAGCTAGGCCATTGATTCCAGTCAATTCTGTCCACTGCCTGGAGATCTTCAGGAGTTTCGATGAAAGGCTGTTATGCCCAGTGGTTAGCACTTTCACTTGCTGAGTGAACTGTGGCTGGATGATATTCTCTGTCTACCCGTCTTCTGTATTCTTTGGAGGAAAGATAGTGCTGCTGCTAGGAGCCAATCTTCTCCTCTGTTACGAAAAGCCTTTTAATAATTAAACATTTAAATGCTATACTTCCCAAATCCCTGAGCACTCTGAGGGTTGTTTATTGGGTATATATTTAAAGTTATGACTAAGGTATAGGATCTGCCTGGAGAGCTAACGCCAAGTTTGACTGTGCTGGTTTTGAACTTAACAGGAGAGATTTATACTTGTGAGAGACAAAGAAGAAAAAACTGTGGGCAACAGAAGCTTAACAGTAGAACTGACAGTAGTGAAGACATGTACAAATATGTGCAGGTGAATTTAAGTTTCATACACACATACATACAGAGTTAAAGCTAATTTATGCTAATATAAAAAGTTAACTTAAAGTCACATACATGCACACACACATAAATATTAAACAGGGGCTGGGTGGAGTGGATGCTTTGGTGGGCCCTACCAAAAGCATGCCACTGTGCAAAATAGACATGTAACAGAGTCGGTAAGAGGAATTTAAAGACAAAAACATAAGTAAATGGCAAGACGAGGCAAGGAGTACCTCAGTAAAGATGGCGACTTGGTTACACGGCCTGCCCTTAGTCAAGATGGTAGAGGTCACATGCTGCATAGAGAAACCACATGTTGTTCATGGCTGTGGCAAAAATTTTGAACAGATACAAATAAAAAGAGAGACATAAAGGATATGTAAAACATACATTTAAAACAGAATCTCATCTGTGTGGCCACACCATTCACACATTCTTTCATACATCAAGTAGACAGGAAAGTTACTCAGCACCACCAGTCCGGTGGCAGCAGCCTCCTCATGGGTCGGACCAGTTTTGCTGGTTCCTGTGGACTGGAGGCAGTAGCAGTGGCAGAGACAGAATTTGCGGGGGTATCCCACCCCAAACAGGCTTAGCCATGGTGGGAGGCAGCCCAGTAGAGGGAAAAGTGGATGGGCATGAGATGGCACGGCTGGATAGAAACTTCTATCTGCCTGTTAGGTGACAGAAATTAGAAAACTCTTGTGTTGCGGGTCTGCCGGTAGCTGGCCACTTTAGGTTTTTATTTAAGGGGTACGTAGGCCATTTCCCAGAGCTTGGGGGGGGGGGGGACGAGAGTCAAGATCCAAAAAGCAAAATATTTTAGGCGTCCCTAAAATAATGCAAGGATCGAGCAGATTGGTCAAGTCATCCTAAGGCTTGTCAGCACAGAGGGTGGGGACCAGTCGAGTGTCCCAAGGGACTACAGTCCGAGATGAGAAATGAGCCGAGATCCCAGTCCTCAGCCACGGGGAGTTACCAGAGATAATGTCAGCGAAAGCTGACTTGGAGATGGGAACCTTACCATTTAGTTGGTGTTGTGCGTAGTAGCAGCTTCGGATCCGGGATTCCCATGTGCTTTAGCCGGACCGTCCATGGGTGGGAGGGAACATGGAGAGAGCCTGGTCGAGTCATGCACCAATTCATGGAGGCATGACCCCTGTGGGTGGGAGGCAAACAGGATGCCATGCAGAGAGACTTGGGTATAGAGTTTAGTATTGGGAAGGATATAAGGGGTTATGGGGACGGTGGGGGAGAAAGAGAAAAAGGAGAAAGGGGGAGGGGAGAGGCAGAGACTACCTCTTCAGAAGCATAGATAGGAGATACAAGTCAGTTTGGGTAGACTGGAGGTGGGCAAGATCAGAAGGGGGAGATTGGGGGTGGGAGGAGTTTGCCTCTTAAAGGGACGGGGTACCCAGCTGACAGGGCAGGCCAGCAGATTTATAATTACAACAATAACCCATTGAACACACAATAGTCTTCTGGTTAGTAACTGGGAGGCAGCTTAGATGAGCACATCGATTTAAAGTCTTCAGGGAGGATGTCATGGCTTCCACTGGGCTGGGGAACTCATTTGAAGGTTTAACTGGAGAAACTCAGTTTCTAAGTTGCTGCAGTCAGGGTGTGGGTCTTTACACCCTGTTGAACTGACTAGCTTTCGCCCGGAGGCCTGTCCTACTCTTCACCACATGAACTTGTCCCTGGGGAGGTTTGTAATACAGCAGCTGCCCAAATCTTTCCCAAAGTTGAAACAAACAAGGGCAGCCCTTGCGTAGGGCCATTGTCTTTCCATGTTCTTAAGGTTCAGAGGCACACAAGCGGCCTCGGGGCAATTGTTTACTTGCCTCAATATCTTTATCAATGTTTTTCTCCCTCCGTAATGAGATTCATTCTCATTACTTTTATTTATGTGTATCTCTGCGTTTGGGTGTGAGCGAATGTCATGTGTGTACGTGTCCCCAGAGCTCAGAAGTAGGGGCTACTGGACTGCTTGGGGCTGTAGTCAGCGCTGCCAGGTGGGTGCTGGGAACACAACTCAGGTCCTCTGGAGAGGGAGCCAGTGTTCTTAACTGTTGAGTCATTGCTTCAGCCCTATCCTATACTTTCCTAAAACAATGTGGATAATGCACAAACCATGGGAACTCTGTAAAGTTTTAGGAGCTTTCAAACTCCCCGAAGCTCATGGGATGGTGTCCTCAGTGTTCTTAGATCTCAGGATAAAATTTCTTTCTTCTTTGCGCCTCCCGTGGCTCTAAGAACCAGACTCAGAATCACTGTTGAGTTGGAGTGTGTTTTTAACAGAGTCCCCAAAGCCTACCTGACGCATCTTGCATCTTGGAGTTTGAAAAGCAATGGTTGTATTTCACACACACACACACACACACACACACACACACACACACTCACACGGAAAAAAAAAAAGAAAGAAAAGAAAAAAAAAAGCCCGTTTCCTCCTACCTACAGGCTCTTTGAACTTCTTTCTCTCCTTGAAAGCTCTTTGGCAGTTAAGAATTTACCTGGGCTCTGGGGAGAAGACGTCTGTCGCATTCCTTAGGATGTAGGACAGGAAATCGGGGCCAAGCACAAAGCAGGGGTTTTAAGAGGTCCTTGTAGTCTGACCCCTGAGGCAGCAAGAACTGGATCTGCAAGACCCTGGCAACCAGGACTCTAGGGGTAGAGCAACCAGGACCCTAGGGGTAGAGCGCAG